TAAAAGACTTCTGCTGTTGTACACTTCTTGTCGTGTTCTTCCATTGGGGACCAACACACAGGGCGTTATCGGCGGTGATCTCTCGGCCTGGGCTTCCGTTACAACAGTAGTCAGCAGGATAAAGTGTGAGGTGTGCATTAGCAACTAGCACGTGATTCAAACCAAACCAGAGATGTAATGATTGCAATCGAATCCTGTTCGAGTACAGTTTACAGTAGAGTTCAGAGGATGGCGTGGTTGAGATAAAAAGCGAGAAAACACTGGGTATATTAAGCAGTCGTATATTTACTAACGTGTACATAAAAATGATAAGAAACTACAGGTCAGATGAGAGGGAGGAAGGAAGGAGGGGGGTTGGCTGTCCCTCCGAGTAAAGTCGAGGATAAAAAAACCTTCAGAGGATAACACAATTTGGTGTCATTGTTACGCACCAGTATGGGTATCGTTTTGTATATAGCGAGGTAGACAGCGAACCCTCCGAATTCTTATGGCAAATGCGCGATCCATTTAGTTACGGGTATGTGGCAATGTGACTCTCAGGCAATGTAGTCCCGGCGTTAGTTTGCAAGGGACGGAAAAGCGATAGGGAAGACTTCAGAGTAGTGGTTCACAAAGTGCACCTCCAGGCCCTCCTTTATAAAGCTTGCAAGATCGTCGTAGTCTTTGCGGTTCATTTCCGGCAAAATGACCGTGTTCACACCAACACGCTTAGCCTACAAATGTGGGGGGAGGTAAAATGAAAAAGATGTCAAATGTTGCTACTGATTAACATTTCGGTAGGTAGATTTAACGAACACAACTAAACACTTACAGCTATTATCTTCTCCTTGATACCGCCGACTGGGAGCACTTTTCCCGTAAGACTGATTTCACCCGTCATAGCCAGATCCGGACGCGTGGGTGTGTTACATGCCAAGCTGAGAAGGGCGGTGACCATAGTCACGCCGGCAGAGGGCCCATCCTGTAACCAACAGAAGAAAAAAATGTTTAAGTGTAAGAAAGTGCTTCATCACGCTAAAAGAGCAGAAATGCAGTTTGCTATATTTCAGCACACCAAACGGACACTACTTTTTACAATAAGCTTACCTCAACGGTGTTCACCCCAAAGCGTCTATAGAATAGATTTGGGGGCGTAAAAGTCATTTATCGTTCAACGAGCTTCATTCCCAAGTTCTACTAACAACAGTTCAATAATCCAAATATGGGATACCCTGCCGTCACGCGCCATCCCAAATTGTGTGCATGAATTCACGTACACTTGCGGATGCAGATATATTGGGGAAAGAAGGAATCAGGGTCAAAAACCTGATCAACATTAGGGGACTGGCAGCTGAGAAAGGTGATAGGCTGCGGACTGTTGAATTACCGGCCTTCGCGGCCACGACAACTGCAGCGCCTAGACGAAGTTCTTTTCTGGGCGCACAGGACCGATCAGTGAAGCCTGATGGCGGCCGCTTCTGCCGTAGCCAACAGACGCTGTTCAAGGAATTTCATCA